TATCACGTACCCTTTTCTCCCACCCCCCCCAGAACTGGCATTTTTCTCCTTTTTAGCCTGGCAGCCCCATCTCAGCAGCATGGGCCCTGCCTGTCTGTCAGCACAGAGAAGCAACAATCCTGTGGGGAAAGATGTGCACCCTGGTCCTGTCACCCTGGCCTGCAGTAGACTCTGGAAGTGTAAGGGAGCTGAGCCAGGATTACCAGTGTACCATGTTCCTGACCTTAGTGGCCTTCCCAAGCTCAACAGAAAAGTATTTTCCAATTGTATCTCTATTTTCTAGTGGCTTATTAGGCTGTGGCAGAGACTCATCAGCCACAGACAAGCACTGGCAGGGCTCATGTTGCTTCTGCTGCTCCTTTGCTGTATTTGGTGGACAGTGTGGGGTGCTGGGGTGCTGTTTGATGCAGACAACACACACACGTCTGTGCTCTGCCAGGGCTGGTTCTGTGTCTCTGGGGAGCTCACACAGAGGGCCAGTGGTGCTGTTCCACTCTGCCAGCCTGCAGGTAGAGGGGCAATCTCTGGGTGATGTGCAGGGTGAGTCTGGTGCACAATTAAAGCCTTCCTGATGCTGAGGCCTCTCCAGACTCTCTGCCTGGATAAACAAAGCAGCTCTTGGGGCACTTAGGAACCTCAGGCTTTGGCTGCCCCGTTCCCAACAAGGCATCCATGTGTGGCAGGGAGGGCTGGGCTTATGGGCATGGCAGTGTTTTTCCAGTGCGTGGGCTGCTTTGATAGATGTACCTCTCCCTGCATTGAGTGATTCCACTTTGCTCCAAGGCAATTGATTTTCTCCCCAGGGCTCTGCAGGCAGCTGCAGCCACTCCATCCTGCATGGAGCCGTGACTGGGGAGCCACAGCTCACAGCGTCTCAGCCACATCCCTCTTCCCCCTGTTCCCTGTTCCTTCCCTGCAGTCTCAGCCATGTCCCTTTCCCCTGTTCCTTGCCCTGCAGAGTCTCAGCCATGTCCCCTTTTCCCTCTTTCTCCTGTTCCTTGCCCTGCAGTCTCAGCCATGTCCCTTTCCCTGTTCCTTCCCTGCAGAGCACAAGTGCCCGGTGGACCAGCGGGAGCAGCTGGAGGAAACGCTGCCCCTGATCCTGGGGCTGATCCTGGGGCTGGTGATCGTGGTCACCCTGGGCATCTACCACATCCACCACAAGCTGACAGCCAGCCAGGTGCAGATCCCTCGGGACAGGTCTCAGTACAAACACATGGGCTAGGAGCAGCACCGAGACACGCGGGCACTGATCAGGTAGAAAAAGCAAAAGCACTTTTTCCTGTGGGTGAGGAAAGGTTCTGGGGGGCAAGGGATGGTATTCACAGCACCTCATCCTGGGCGTTTCATGGAGACACCCAGGCTAAGGCTTGGCTTTAGCACAGCCTCTGGAAGGACAGTCAGTGTCCCTAGGTGGTTTGAATACCTTCTTCAAGCAGCTGGGCTGATCATCTGGAAACAGAAATACTTCACATGTCAGAGTTTCACACTGGGAGCACAACTAGCTTTCTTGTTTTATTTACTTTTTCCCTTTTCCCCATCCCCAGAGATTCTTACCCCCCCTGCGTCACCTTTGGAGCATTCAGCCCTCCACGTTCCTGTCCATGCAGGAAGCAGGGCTGGGAGACACAGCCATTGCACAGGGCTCAATCAGGCCCTCTGGTGATGGGACTCAAACCACATCCCCAAGTTTGCACTCATGTTAAGGAAAGCATGGAGGCAAATGCAGGTGTGCTTTGGGAAAAAAAATAATAAATTCAGGGTCAGTAACTCCAGCAGAGCAGATCACAGCTGTGGAGCTGACCCCACACCTGAGACTGGGTGAAGAAAGTTTGTTTTTGCTTCTTGAGCCACATTTGAAGTCAACTTAGGAAAAAAAAAAAGAAAAAACAGTATTGATACACAAATTATAAAGTGCCGTGCTACTGCAAGTCAACTGAGAAATGCTTCTGGCTGGGCATCCTGCACGTATTGTGATTGTGGTTGAGATGTTACATTGCTACCTGCAACTGATAACTTTCACAACAAAACAAAAAAAAAAAGAGAAAAAGAAAACAGTAATGTTAAAGTCACTATGCAGATTATTCAGGTATAATCTAATGTAACAGAAAAAGTATAAGGGAACCCTTGAAATCTATCCTTAAATGTAGACGATTTTTAAAATGAATTAAAACATGTACATACATAATGCTTGATTTGCCTTCTTAATTTGAAATGATGTAATGCTGTGTGCTCACTCCACAGTACCAATGGAACCAGAACACAAATCTGAGTGGATGGCACATGTAGGATTTATTCGAGCAGTGGTTGTGCTGCAAATGGCTTGGTGAGGACACCATGGTGGTTCAGTGTTCTCTGATTTGTTGGTTGTCCCTAATTTTCTTCTATCTTTTGGTTGTTTTTCCATTGTGTTGTGTGGGCAATGATGTGTTTTATTCTGGTACAGTCCAATTCCCACTGAGCCCTCTGACTCCCCTTGGCTCCAGTGTTACCTCAGCAGGAGTTAGGCCAGGCCTTGTGTCAATTTAGGGTGTGGAAAACACTACCTTGTTCTTAAACTGATATAATTCAAAGGCCTGATTGTTTTCTTTCAGCTTAAAACTCAATCAAAAATAGTAATTTCAATGTTGAGAAAAGGTAAGAGAAGAAACTTAACTGTTCTTTAATGCTGTCGTCTCCTCCAAAATGTATGGTGTTTTTGATGAAGGTGGATGCAGCATAAGCCTTCCTTTAGTCCTGCCTCATTCCTGGTCTCATTTCTGTGTTATGCTCAGCTGTTTTCTCATTTGGATGCAAAAAGCAAAATTATGGCACTAACAATGATAGTGGCTTTGCCCTTTTCCTTCAGAACCGCACTGAAAGGGTCCTGGGTGAGCTTTAGACTGACCAAGTGCCACTGCCTACAAGAAGCTGGTAATTAAAAAAGAAAAGAAAAGGTTCTTTTAGAGGCAGTTAGAAAAAGCCAGAGGTAGCAGGAGGGTGAATAAAAGGATTGAAGGTTCATCCTTAAGAGAGAGGAGCTTTGTCCTGCCTCACCCTTGTCTGCCCTGGGGCCAGACAGGCTCTCCCAGCCGGCTCCCATCAGCCTGGCACATCTGCCACTCTGACCTCCCAAAGAACAATCAAACACGAAAAGGAAGCCAACAGCCGAGCTGCACATAGCCCCCCTGGAGCCCTCCCAGTCACTCCGAGGGCAGCCCCCCCGGCTGCCTTCCTCCCTGGGAAGGGGCACTTCCTGGAGCTGCCTGGGCTGCTCGGTGCGCCTGCAGCAGAGGCAGTGGCTGGGGACACCGTGCCCAGGCTGCTCTGGGGCAGCTGTGCCCTGGCCAGCTGCAGCTGTGCTGGTGCCAGTCCCTTGCCTGCTGAGCAGGGAGCTGCTCCCAAACATCCGTGTGGATGTGAGCTGGGCAAAGGCTGGTTGTGTGGCCTCTGTGAGCTGCCCTTAGTGCATCCTGCACTGACCCTGGCAGGGACTCACAGGGCCTGACCCAGAGCCCTGCGGGGGTGGCAGCGGCCACTGGATGGGGACACTGCCCCAAAGGCTGAAGCTGCTCCGGTGCCTGCCTGAAGGGCTCCTGCTGCTTCTCCTGGCACATGAGGGCTTCCCTTAGGAAGCACCTGCCTTCCCCTTCAGGGGGTGAGTGTGTCTGTAAGCTATTGAGAACACTGGAATGCAATCATAAATTTCTTGATTTTCTGAACTGACAGAAAATATGGCTTTGCTTTTTGGGGAAGAAAGGAAAAAGAAACAATAATTTAATGTCAGGGACAGTTTGTGTCCCAGACTGATGCATCTTGGTTGAAAAAAAATTAAGCTGTTATTTAAGCTCTTGGATGAAAACCTTTTAAAATCTTTTCGTTCTCCCCATCCTTTTGTTCACATTTACTAAAATTGATCTGAATTCTCCATTGCTTTAAGCTTTTCAAGCCTATTCATAAAAAATTATTTATGAGAGAGATTATGTCCAACTGCCCTCCTGCCTGTCAAACTGCAGCAGCATCTTCAGGATGGCAGCACTTTGTTGTGATTTAATTTAGTATTTAGCTTTCATTTATTGATGGCTTTTTATGGGTGAGCTGCAAATGGAAAGCTTTGCTTTCTAGATGTTTATGAACACAGCAGCAGAAGGTGGATAAATACACCTTATCACCCTCCTGAGCTCTGCAAGGACCTGTAATAATTAGGCACTTACTAAAGCAGCTGCTAATGACTTACAGAGTACTTGTGATTAGAACTTTAATTATAAATTATTGCTCTATTGCTGAGGAGGGGGCTGACATAGCCAGGAAACATCCTGGCCTCTGCTCCCAGGGTGAGGAGTATTTGGGAGTAGTTTTGGAAGCGTGAGCTCAGAAACAGCCACCATTACCCAGTGACAGGTGGCAATCATTTCACTGGAGTATCAGCCTCAGCTTCTGAGTGAATGGATGCTCCTCACATCCTTGTTTGTTTTTAGGTGATGGCATTACATTTTTCAGTGTATTTGGAAGTATTTACTGATGCAGAAACCAAAAGTAACAGAAATCCTCACCTGTAAGAATGGAAGGTAGCAAATAACATTGTGGATTCATCAGCTGACTGGTGCTGCTGGGGAAACTGGGAACAACTGTAGGTGTGAGAGACCAAGGGCTGGGAGCTAAAACTGGGGCTGTGTAATCAGGGATTATTTAGGGGATAGAGAAACGGAGCTGGGAATGCACTGACACCTAGAAATCACTTAGGGCAGCTCTATAAATCACTATTATATATATGAATGTATATCACACACATGTGTATCTTGTGTGTTTATATATAGTATAAGAACACTTTTCTTTGTTATATATATTATCATATACATATTATAAGAATAATATATATATATGTATAAAAGAATAATAGATATTATAAGAACACTTTTTTTCCTTTGTTATCTGCTCGGTCCAATACTGTGAGACTGAATCAAATCTATAAAATAGAAAAAAGGCATGGGGGAAAAAACAAACCACACTGAAACTTGAAGTGTTTATTAATGAATTTATTGAACTTGCATGTGCATTTGTTTCACCAGTAGCTGGTGTTCACAAAAAAACCCTTTGAAATTAACAAAACTCTCAGTAAACTCGATGAACACTGCTTAAAGTATCTAATGATAAGAAAGTCGCAGAAAATTCTTCACTTGTACAGCCTAAAATGTGCTGAATATTGAAGAAAAAACTCCCACCAACCCCCTTTTTATCCAAAGATGGTTACAAAAGGTAATTCTGTAGCTAGTGCTAAGTTGTGCCGTTGCCTGGACTGGTGCAGCCTGGTTTCCTGAGTTGTCAAGACTACAAAAGAGAGCCCTGGGAGGCTGGGGGTGCTCCCTGCTGGGTGGGCTCTGGGAGCCGAACGTTTTCTTCAGCGTCTTCTTCAAATGTGCAAACAGGGCTAGGGAGAGAGCACTGGGGTAAGACACTGATGTAAGAACAGCTCTTCCATGTTCCAGGTCATCCTTAGCTCCTTCTTCCTTTTTTATTTTTAAATTGCTTCTCTCCCTTCAAATATTCTTTAAGGGCAGAACTAAAGGAGCTTCTTTACTATTGGCAACTCTTTTCTCCCAGAGGAAGATCTTTAAGCAACAGCTCCTGCCAGGTTTAGATGTTTGGTTATAATTTACTACAATAAATAACAATTAATTTATTAACTATGAAATTTCATAAAAAGAAAGAAACTGTGTTTTCACAAAGTTGGCCTTGTGGTTCTTAAAGATACCATAAAATGAGGTCAGTAAGAAAAAAAACAAACTTGAAAAACATGGCTTTTGTATTATACAGAATTAAAAACAACTCATCATTAATAAATAAAATTATTTTCTCATTGAAATAATTATGAAGCACTTCTAAAAATTTTAAAGGCAAATCTATTTAGGCCTACAGTTAACATGCAAAGTCATCCAACAAATAACACAAAATTGTACCGCAGTAGTCAACTGTTGCATCAACATTCAGAAAGGTCTAGACAGCAGCACGACTCCTCCTCTCTGGCAAACGCTGGCAGCTCATCCCAAGCCATCCCATCCCAGGGCTCTGCCTGGGCTCTGGGGATCCCTGTGGGCTGGCAGGAGGAGCTGCTGCTCTCCTGTCCCCTGCCAGAGTGTGACAGCAGTCCTGGAGGCCGCTGCGGTGGCAGAGCAGGCGTGGTGGTGGCACGGCCAGAGAGGGCTCGGCCAGCCCGGGAGGGCCCTGGGCCGCCTCTGCCACCCAGTGCCCCAAGGCAGGGCAGGATCAGCCCCTGCTCACCCCATGGCAACTCTGCAAAACCTTACAACTTCATAAAGGTGGCTGTGGTTTCTTTTTTTTTTTTTTTTTTTTTTTCCTGTTTTCAAAAGGGTTTAAAAAAGTAGGAAACTTCATCTTCTCAAATTCTCTAAGTTACACTCATTACTTAACTAACACAACAGGTACATGACAAAGTACTGCAAGTTATCAAAACGTACTGTACAGAAAATTACAAACTTCTTGCAAAATACATTGCGCTGCTCTGGCCGAGATAAAAAGTGCTTTGTTTGCCAGAAAAGTGTTCTTCTGAGCCAGAAGTGCCTCAGCCCGCGGTGAAGCTCAGCTGTTTGGCTCCATGCTGCCTCGCCCAGGCTGGCATTGGGTGTGCCCTGCCTGGCAGCCGTGGTGCCCGGCCTGCTCCTGTCCCTGGCACAGCGGAGCAGGGAGCACTGCCTGCCCCGGGGCTCTCTGTACACACGGCAGCGTTTCCTCAGGGCTGCCTTCCTCCTCAAGGCTCTGCTGCTGCTCCTCCCTGCCTGCGATCCCGCATGCCACGAGCCGGGCTCTGCCCCTCGCCAGCAGCCCTTCAGCGGTGCCTGTGCTGCCTCATGAGGGGCACGATGCACGAGGGGGGCCCGGCCAGCTTCAGGAAGGGGTGGCGGAGCAGCTCCTGCGCCGTGGCTCGCTGCGAGGGCTCCCGCACCAGCATGGAATCCAGGAAGCCCCGCAGCACCGCCGAGACCTGAAACACACACGGGCATGGGGTGCCGAACGCCCCCTGCAGCTGTGCTGCTCTGGGCGCGCTGCTTTCTGGGGGACAAAAGGGACACTGTGCTCAGCAGAAGGGCTGTGGGCCGGTGCTGGTGGTTGGAGTGTTCGGGTGTCCCTGGGGTACAGAACACCATTAAGGCAGGCTGAGGGCTGATGGAAATACCCCCTAACTGGGAGGGGCCCAAAGGCTTTGGTGCCTCACATGGGTGTACCAACCCAACTGCAGCAGGGCAGTGAGCTGGGCTGCTCTGGTCCTCGGGCAGGCTGGGAAGCACAGGGAGCTTGGGGCTGTGCCCAGCTCCCTTTGCCATCTCTGGCTGCAAAAGCAGTGCCAGGGTCAGGCACAAACAAGGCCATGACCGATGGCTTCGGCCTCTCTTCCCCCCCTGGAGCCATGTGTGGCACCACTGCCCCAGTGGCCCTTGGAGGTGACAGTGAGGGTTTGGACATGCAGGGTGTGCCTGCAGGGCCCCTGCCAGGGCCGGGGAAGGCTGACCTTGTGCGTGTCCTTGACGCGGGGCGGGAGGTTGTCCCGGATGCGGCGCATGGCCTGCAGCGGCGGCTCGTTGAAGTACGGCGGCTCCCCGTCGATCATCTCCATCACCATGATGCCCAGGGACCAGATGTCCACCTGCAACAGCCCGGGGCTCAGGGGCACTGCCGGCACTGCACTGGCTCCTGCTGCCTGCCCAGCCAGCACTGGCACCATCCATGTTTCGTTTTTACCAGCCAGCCACGGCTTTCCCTCTAGCAGTGAGGGCCTGACAGCCCAGACCGGCAGGGGCTCACAAGCCAGGCTCTGCAGCTGCCTTGGGTGCTGCTCACTGGAAGCTGCACCCTGGGAGAGGCTGTGTCCTGCTGCCCTGCATTCCAGCTGCACTGACCTGCACCCACTGGGCGCCCCCCAGGCTGGCCCGCAGCTGCTGGAGAGCAGGGTACGCTTCACTGCTCTGGAATCACTTACTCTGTTCCCCTGCAGCTTAAGGACTGTGGGAACTCCATTCCAGAGCCCGAGGCAAATGCAAGCACTCACTACAGCCAGCCTTGTTTACAGCCAGCACAGGTAGCACATTATGTAACACCTCTGGAAAGTGATTCAGCTCTAGCTCAAAAAAACCTTTTTTTTATTCTTAGTCCTGGCCTGCTGCAGAGCTGCTCCAGAATCCTCTGATGACTGTAATTCCTTTCATTTGCCAGCCCAAATATTGCCATGGCCAGTTCATTCTGCTTTTGCTCTTTTGCCAACACTATCCTCTAGCTTAAATCCTTTTTTCTTCCCTTTCCCTTCTGGTGGGGAAACTTAATGCAGCCCTAAGTTCAGCCACTTTATAATCCCCCTAAGCTATTAATGGGCTAATAATAGTTGATGCTATTATCTCTGGAATGTCTTCTCCAACAGCACAGATCCTGGGTGGAGAGCAGTGCCTGCAGGGTGCTCTTGCTGTGCCGTGCCAGAGCAGTGTGAGGATGGAGCAGCTCCAGCTCAGCTCACTCCCTTCCCTGGGTACATCAGTACTTTTAGGTGTGTTCAGTGCAGGTACGTGCAGCGAGGCTGTGTGTGACCATCCCGTGTGCTGGCTCTGCAGCAGCTGTGTCCCCAGGCAGAGGCACAGAGGCAGCCCTGTCCCCGCAGCGTGGCTGTGTCACTGTCACTGGTTCCCTCTGTGACTCGCAGCTGCCCACACGGGCTGTGGCACTGCACACCCCGCCTTGCTGGGCTCCTCTGAAGGCTTCCAGTGAAACGCGTGCCTTGCCTCTCCCAGAACATCTGGCAGTGCCTGAAACAGCTCCCACAGAGGGGCTTTTCCCACGCCCGTGTCCCAGCTGATGGCAGCAGTGACGGCAGGGAAGGAGCCCATGGCAGGAGAGCAGTCCTACCACAGAGGGTGGCAGTGCAGCCCTCCCAGCTGGCCCCGGGCACTCCCCTGGCTCTCCTCCGGAGGGGCAAGGGCAGGGTGAGAGCAGAGCGGCCCTGGCACACACTGGTGCCCCCGGGCTGGGCAGGGGGTGTGTGAGGAGCCCGCTGCTTTGGCACGGGCAGCAGGGCACGCCCGCGAGTGCAGCTCCAGCCTGCAGGCTCGCTGTCAAACAGCAGCACGGGGCCTTCCACAGTGTGCACATGAGGGCAGCTCCCTTCCCTGAGCACCTCAGGGCAAAATGTGTAAAGCATTGCGCTGCTGGGAGTGCTAAATGGAGTTCTTATTGAATAACTGCATCCTGGGGAAACACTTCCAAACCAGGCACGGAGCTGCACTCTGGGGCAGACTGAATCACTGCTGTTTAGCACAGCTGTGCAAATGTTCCTGACCTGCACAGCTCTGACAGCTCCAGGGGCAGGGATACCCTCCTGCAGTGCCTGCTGTGCTCACCTGGGATGTCCCCTACTGGGAACCCCCTCTGCAGGGTCCTGTGCCCACCTCAGTGCCATGGGGAGCTGGGAATGCCCTCTGCAGGGTCCTGTGCCCACCTCAGTGCCATGGGGAGCTGGGAATGCCCTCTGCAGTGTCCTGTGCTCACCTCAGTGCCGTAGGGCAGGCGGGATATCACCTCTGGTGCCATCCAATAGGGTGTCCCAACCAGGGACTTTCTCCGGGGAACCTCCTTTGACACTTGGGCACAGAAGCCGAAGTCAGACAATTTTATCTGTGGAAAGAAGAAGAAAAAGCCCCTCGTGAGTAAGAGGACAAAGCCCTGCCAGGCACAGGGGTGCAGCTGCAGTGCTTTCCTGGGCAGGACAGCCGCCCGGCTCTGGAGGAGGGCTGGGATGGGAGCCCAGCCTCGGGAGCACACAGCACATTGGAGTGAAGGGGAGATGGAGGAGGGTGCCACTGGTGCTCATTCCTGATGTCATCTGTCACAGCCCATTGCCTCTCCACCAGCAAAGGATGGCGAGATGATACATGGCTTATAACACTTACAAATAAAAGGAAAACAAACTATTCCAAACAGAACCCCCATGCTTGTAGTTATATATATGCAATATTCAGTAATACACATATTCCAAGTGACACCCACCCCTCCTGTTGTTTGCACCAGTTTGTACAATCTCTGGGCTTGCCAGAAAATGTGGGGAACAAGTGGCATTCACCCCGCTCCTTTTTATCACCCATAGAAAATAAAACGCTTCCAGGGGTCTGCCAGGCCCAGGACCTGCCCTCCCTGGGCAGCAGGAGCGCAGAGCTGGAGGAGGCAGGGCGGGTACAGCACTCCTTGCCCAAGAGTGAGCCTGGTCCCTTTGCTGGCAGCTCAGGAATCACTGCTGTCCTTGAGCAGCTGTGGCAGTGACCTGAAATAGAAATTATGGGATACACGAGCACTCCCGAGAGCAGCTCCTGCTGCATCATGTGCCTGCCTCACACTTTTATGACTGCTTTTTTTTAACAACAAAAATTATGGAAAATTATCACCACCCCCTCTCTGTCGCTGTATAATGCCAAGGTGAAAGTTCCACAACAAGCTGCTCTGAGGGTTGGTGGCATCACCCCTTCCAGAAACAGCTTGATCCTTAAGGCTAAAATATTTTTTTTTTACCTCTCCAAGGACTTACTTGGAGGCCTGGAAGCTTTCCAAGGGATGTTCCTGGACATTTTCCTACTCTCCATCCCTGCCCGTCCAATGGTGACCCACGCCCCAGGTCCCCCGGCTGTGTATCCCACCAAGTACTCCGTGTCTGGGGATACAGAGGGAGCCCAAACAGCCCCAGGACAGCTGGAGTGGGAAGCTGCATAAATCCCTGCACTGTGTGGGCTTATTGTCAGCACTCACTTTTGGATTCAGCACAGACATTACTTTTTTTTTTAAAGTTACGGATATTATTTTTAACGGAATTACAAAACGATCGTTGGTATTTCTAAAACAAAGCCAATAATAGCCAAGTGCTCCACGCTAAATGTATTTCTCAGTTTACAGGACGAAGAATGGAGGAAATAATGCATATTTTGGAAGCAAAGCCCAATCTTCTTTTGTAGGAGCACAAGAGGTTTTGCATATCTATTGCTCATTGGAGTACATAAAAGACGAGGATTTTCTAAAAAAAGATAATTGCACAACACAGCCATGAAGAAATCTGCAATGCAGATAATGAGGACTGGAGTAATGAGTATAATGAGGCACTGTATGCAGATCCTGAGCCCAGATCAGATGTTATTCCAGCAACATGAACTGAAATTACAACTGAACAACTCCTACACACGTGGGATTGGCTTTCCTTGACAGGATTAAGAGGAGCAGCCTGTGGCTGCTGCAGGAAGAAAATCCCTCTCCCTTGGTGAGTGGGCATCAAATTGGACAGGCCAGCCTTTGGCTACGGACTCAGAGCAGGCCTGGAAGCCAAGAGCTTTACCTGGGGAAGGGGAAGATCTGGATCTGCTGCCAAACCAAAGCTCTTGGGCTCAGTCCAACCCTCAGGTCTTGCCTTAGACAGGTGTGTAAGGCCAGTGGAGCAACCCTAATTTTTCTGTGTGTAAACCACATTTTGTTTAGTGAGCAAGCCTTGTGCAGCATTCTGTGCCCTTCTCCCCCTGCTCACTAACTACACAAAGGCACAGCAAGTAACACACATGGAAGTGTGGGACAGCTTTCATCAGGCGTCTTGGAAGTGTGAAAGCTACTCTTACCATCTGGGGAGGGTTTCAGCAGTAATGCAGATTATTTCCTATTTGCATAGATTGATGCTGGCCTCCCAGCCAGTCTGGGGAAGCAGAGCACATGTACAGAAACTGCTGAGTAAATGATAACTAAGTGTGGTACAAAGGAAGTGGTTTTGGAAGGTATCAGGGTAGGAGTGGTGCAGTCCAAACAGAGGTGTCCCATCACTGCTCATCACCCTTACTGCCCAGCTTCCTCTGCCACTGCCTCTGAGGCTCCAGTTCCTCCCCACGGGCTCTGCCTGCAGCACAGATGCCAATCACCAGTGAGGCCAGGTCCGTGTTCCTTGGATGCAGCTTCTCCCACGAGTTATTCACAGGCCCTAGCAGTTTCCCTGCGTGTCCCCCGCCGTGCCCAGGTTCCCTGTGTCACTCCCACCCCGCGGTGCCCTTGCTGTCCCTCAGCCCGGGCTCACCCTGCCGTCGCTGGTGAGCAGGATGGAGTCGCTCTTGATGTCGCGGTGGATGACGCCCTGGTGGTGCAGGTAGGACAGGGCGCGCAGCACGGACACGCACACCGTGGCGATCTGCTCCTCGTTCATCCTGCAAGGGCGGCACACACACACACAGCTCAGCCTGGGGAGGGGACCGGCACTGCCTCCATCACCGATCTGCCTGCAGCGCCTCCGGGGCCGCTCCTGCTCCTGCTTCTGGGAGCCGAGGCTGGGGAGCGGCCCTGCAGCGAGCTCTGCGTTAGCGCCTAAAGCCGAGCGTGCCACGTGCTGGGGTCTCTGGGAAAGCACAGAAATTTCCCTCTGGGAAATCACAGAAATGCCTTATTTACAGTAAGCTCGCTGCTTGCCAAGCAGGCTTCGCTACTGGGATGGGAACAGGTGTGGAATAAATAAATAAATATGAGGAGAACCACCCTTAATTGTGTAGGCAAAACATCAGGCCCTGGGTTGTAGCTCATTGAGAGCACTTTCATGCCTTCCTATAAAAATATTCTGGGTATTTCAGCAGAAAAACAAACAAGAGTCCTCATTTCTGTGCACAGCTGAAAAACCCATTGTGGGGTCATTCTCTCAGCTACAGTGCAATGCCAGGGATGGGCTGGGCACCCTGTGCCACTGTTCCATCCCCGATGTCCCCAGCATCTCTTTTACATGAGCAGAAGAACACCTGTGGAGATTTCAGCTTTAATTTCTGCCATTTGCAGTATTTTAGCAGGATCTTTGAAGGAAGGTCATGCAATGTAAAAAAAAAAAAAACACCCAGCACATTAAGAAAAGACTGTTTTGAGTTAAAAATAGATGACAGCTCTTAAGAAGTGGTGTCCTGGGAGCATCTGTTTGCTGTCAAACTTCTGTCAGAAACGTTTAAGATAGAGCTTTTAACAGTTTGGCAAATACTTGCCATACTGTGATTTATTTCAGCACATAAGCTAAGGTAACACTCAAAAGTAAAACACCTGTGTTATAACTCTTGGTAAGACCTAAGAGCACCATTTAACTGGGAGAACACAAATTTTCTCATTTATAATTCCTTGCTTTTGTTCTTGCTCCCCTAAATATTCTCCCACTGGTTTGGTGTGGAAATTCTAATTTTCTTTCATTAAGAAAGAAAATTAGAAAGAAGAAATTAAATAAAGAGTCCCTCTTCCCTGTCTCGTTTTATCCATCTCATCAGAAGCAGATGAGCAAAGAGCAGATGTAAAGAGGGCTGTAAAATCTAATGTCTGCCCTCAGCAGAGGCAGAGCAGTTCCATACACTGCAGCTCTTGTGCTGGCTAATTTCCTACTTTAAAGGTGGGATATTAACTGAAATATGGGAATGTGCTCCACCATAAGCACAAAATATTCTGACACAAAAATACTTTTCCCCTTATGTTTTGGGCTGGGTTTGCAGATAACTTTTGTGAGGAGAAATCACCCTTAGAGCAGAGGTGTTTATGACAGCAAACCCAAAAATACAGATCACCAAACAGGGAGAAGGGAAAAGAACTTTTTTTTTTTTCCATTCTGGGAAGTAATGGATAAGAGCTGTGTTGGTGCTAAACCTCTTCCCAAAGTGTCAGCAGATCCCCAGCAGGCCCTCCCAGGTGTTTCCTTCCCTTTGGTTCAGCAAATGCTGCTCTCCCAGGAGTTCGGCGGCACCTCTGGTTCCCGATGTGTGTGCCAACGGGCTCGGTTCTGGTCCATACAAACTGCACGGATCTGTGTTCTCTAAGTGCCTGTGTGTGTGTTGTGCAGGCTGCTCCCCGTGCCCGGCCCAGCCCACCTGGTGTGAGTGACGATGTCGGTCAGGGCGCCGCCCTCCAGGAACTCCATCACCACCCAGAGCTCGTCGCCCACCAGGTAACTGTTGTACATGTCCACCACGTTCTCGTGGTGGTAATCCCTCATGATCACCACCTGCAGGGGCACAAAGGGACAGCTGCCAGTGCCATGGCCTCCAGCGGCACTTGGTGTCACCTTCTTTGTCACCGGTGCTGAGGGAAGGATCTGCGACGAATCGCATCCTCCTCATCCTTACGCCAGCACATAAACAACATCAGAATATTTATATAAAAATATCGGTCCTTGTAAATGCATCAGGGGGAAAAAGAATCTCTGGCTGTTAGAGTATAAACAGTAGATAATTGTTTTATTTCAGCCTGCAGGAACAGACCTGTTTATTTAATTGTTTTTTTATTGCCAATTGCTTTCAGTACAACAGATTATTTTTTTGACCTGATCAATCCCTCAACACATCAAAGTCATTTTTATCACGTAGTAAATGGTACTTTGCACAGATTTTCAACAGATTGCTGGAGTAAGGGCCCAGAAAACTCACTCAAAGAGACTTTTAGAAGGCTTACTACTGCTTTTTGTGTACTCTGAGTTAGAGACACGGGAGAAATACCAACAAGAAATTCTCAAGAGATCAAACAACAAAAAACTTCACTGGCAGCTTAAGAAAAATCAGAGAACTTTGGTAAAAGGTTTTGTTCAACACACAGTGAGGGCAGCCCAGCCAGGACAGTGCCCATGACCTCGGGGGACTGAGGGGGTCACAGAGGTAAGCATGAGAGAGAGAGCACAGCCAGGCAAGGCTCCATCACAGACAGACACAGGGACTCCATCACAGACAGACACAGGGACTCCA